AGATGCACTTGACCTCCCAATTCATTGACTCTAGTATGTTTTGCTCTATAATGACACTTTAGATTTTTTTCATTGTTTCTAAGGCATCTCCACAAACTAGGCACACAGGTTTGCCTTTGACCTAATAAAAAATACTTCTTTGGGGCTGGGAAGGTGGCTCAGTGGTAGAGTGCTTGCCTTGCATGCATGAGGCCCTGGGTTCGATTCCTCAGTACCACATAAGCAAAAAGAAAAAAGCCAGAAGTGGCGCTGTGGCTCAAGTGGTAGAGCACTAGCCTTGAGCTGAAGAGCTGAGGGACAGCACGCAGGCCCAGAGTTCAGGCCCCACGACCAGACCCCCCCTCCAAAAAAAATAATACTTTGTCCATTTCTCTCAGAAAGAGCAATACTCTGCATCAACTTTTTTTTTGTCAGTGGTGGGGGCTTGAGTTCAGGGCCTGAGTACTGACCCTGAGCTCTTTTGCTTAAGGCTAACACTCTACCACTCCGGTGGTTAATTGAAGATAATCTTGCAGGCTTTCCTCCCCACACTGGTTTTGAACTGCTATCCTCAGATCTCAGCCGCCTCAGTAGCAAGGATTACAGGTGTAAGCCACCCATACCAGGCTTGCATTAACATTTTTTTTTTTTTAATTGGTCGTAGGGCTTGAACTGGGCTTGGGCACTGTCCCTGTGCTCTTCAGATCAAGGCGAGCACTCTACTGCTTGAGCCACAGCACCACTTCTGGTTTTCTGGTGGTTTTTATTGGAGATAAGAATCTCACGGAATTTCCTGCCTGGGCTGGCTTTGAACTGCAATCCTCAGATCTCAGTCTCCTGAGTAGCTAGGATTACAGGTGTGAGTCACTGGCGCCTGGCTAACCCTAACATTTTCTTTTGTAATCACCATTTGTAGTTTTAATAATTATTAAGTTTTAATAATTATTTAGTAATATTTTACTGGTAATGTAATTATTTTTGCTTGGATCACTAGTCTAATACTGCATCTTCAATTTAGGACATATCCAACTTTCTTTCTTTTTTTTTGTCAGTCATGGAGCCTGAACTCTGGGCCTGGGCGCTGTCTCTCAGCTCTTCAGCTCAAGGCTAGCATTCTACCACTTGAGCCACAGCGCCACTTTCAGCTATTTCTGCTTATGTGGTGCTGAGGAATCAAACCCAGGGCCTCATGCCTGCAAAGTAAGCACTCTACCACTGAGCCACCTTTCCAGCCCTCCAACTTTCTTATCACTTGAAGACTTTTCTGTATTGAATTTCCTTACTCTTCATCTGAGATCCAGTTTTTGCAAGAATTACTGATCATGAACCTGAGAATAAAGTTTGGATTGGAGTTATTGTCTGTTGACAAGAAGTCAAGAACATTATCATCAATTACTAGAGTCAAGGTCTTCATTAACATCCTGAGGATCTGCATCTCATCTCATTATCACTGGATGGCTGTAGTTTCAACACATTGTTATCACTTTCACAATGTGTACACTCCCAGTCTGCCTGGTACTGACTGTCCTCTGAGTCACCACACTACAGACAGATGGGCCACAGACAGCTGATGAGTTACATGTCATGTACTTATATGTGTCCTGCCTATCCCATAATAGACATTTCTTGCTTGTTCCTCAAAGTCTACATTAGCAGTATAATTTACTTCATGTAAATCTATGTTGCTATAAAGAAAACTCCTAGATTTAGTATGTTTCTAGTCCTGCCTGTGATTGTCTTAGCAGGGCAAGAACCAAATGATTTTATAGGCTTAATACAGCCCAGGGACCGGATGTTCCCTACCCTGGCTCTAATACAAAGGGCATTAAATGCTCTGGCTGGTCTCTTTGTCAGGGTAATTCTCTCTTGGATAGCCTCATGACCTGCAGATCTTTACCCAGCATAATCTTATTAACAAAGCCTTCCTTAAACATCATCTTTCTTACTGGCTTAACATCTCCCTCCTCCATTCCTTCAGTTTTATTTTCATTAACGCATCACTAATCACATACATTTTCCTCATTGTTTCCTATCTTTCCTACACAAATTCCAAGGGAGAAAAAAATGAATGTTTCTTTTGTTCACAGATTTATCTTCAATGATCAGTAGCTGACATATAACGTGTGTGTGTGTGTGTGTGTGTGTGTGTGTGCTGGTCCTAGAGCTTGATCTCAGGGCTTGGGCACTGTCCCTGAGCTTTTTTTGCTCAAGGCTAGCATTCTAGCACTTGAACCACAGCTCAATTTTTTGGTGGTGGTTAATTGGAGACTTTTTAGTCTCATACACTTTCTTGTCTGGGCTGGCTTTAAACCATGATCCTGAGATCTCAGCCTCCTGAGTAGTTAGGATTATAGTCATGAACCACCGGTGCCCAGTTTAACTTTTGAATAAATATTTGTTGAATAAATGAATAAAAATGCCTAAGTAGGGCTGGGAAGGTAGCTCAGTGGTAGAGTGCTTGTCTTGCGTGCATGAGGCCCTGGGTTCGATTCCTCAGCACCACATAAACAGAAAAAAAGGCTGAAGTAGTGCAGTGGCTCAAGTGGTAGAGCCCTCGCTTTGAGCTGAAGAGAGGGACAGAGTTCAGGTCCCATGACTGACAAAAAAAAAAAAGTCTAAGTAATAACTTCTGATATGGTTAGATGGAGGTTTTTAGCATGTTGTCACAATCGTTTCTAGCTAGGCATGGTGGTTCATGTCTATAATAGCTACTTAGGAGGTAGAAATTGAGAGGAGAGAGGTTGAAGGCCAACCTGAACAAAATTTATAGTGTTGAGTCACCATCTCAATAAATTTGGGTGATCCCAGCCACAGGTAGGTATATAATAGTTTAAGGCCAGCCAGGCAGAAACGAGACACTATCAAAACACACACACACACACACACACACACACACACACACACACACACACACACACACACACACACACACACACACACACACACACACACACACACACACACACACACACACACACACACACACACCCCAAAAGCAAAAAGGGCTGTGGATGTGGGTCAAGTTGTAAGTACCTGCTAGGCAAGCGTGAATTCAAATTCCAGTGTGTGTGTGGTGGTGGTGGGGAATAGGGGGTGGGATGGGGAGGAGATTCTGTTTCTATTTCCCTAATACCTATTGGCTTCATTCTCCAGCAGGCTTGAGATATGATGAGTAATGGCAAGAAGCTGTTAAGAGCTGCAGGTGTCCATTCTAACAATTTAGCATCCCAGATAAAATGAAGCAGGTCTGGGTCATTGGGTTCCTGGAATAGGGGTAAATGCTCAACTTGAATTAAGAACAGGGAAAAAGTAATTCTCTAAAAGAAAATGGGGTACTATTACTAGAAGAAAAGTGATGAACTTTAACAGGATAGAAACAACATAGTTCATTACATCATCAGTAAGGTGAAGAACAATGTTCTCCTGCCATATCAGCCACAGGAGCCTCTGAACTTTGATAAGGTCATTTCCTAAATCTATTTCAGCCCTGTCTGAGGAGGGTCTTTCTCACTCTTTAATGCCAGTTCAAATACATCTCCCTCGTGGTTGCTTTTATTTTTTAATCGAGTCCCAACCCAACTCCTAATACCAAGCCAAGGGTGCCCCAGAGTGAGTGAAGGCCACCAAGGTTCTGAGATTTGATGTACACTCAACCCTAATCCTTCACAGGAATACTCAACTCATACTGCCCAAGGGAGTACTAGGGGAGGGGTAGGCAGAAAGCCACTAGTCCTCACTACTAGAAGAACCAGGAGATAGAGGGTGTTGAAAGGAGTATCTATTTATGCCAAGTACTTTCTATAATCTAACCCTCTAGGCACCCTTAGGAGTGGGTATTTATAGTCTGTATTGTTCAAGAAATAGACCTGGGGAAGAAATAGCTAATCAAGGCTCCATGAGCTTCAAGGGTGAAATTAAAGCCAGATTTGCCTAACTCATTCTGTGAGCCATGCCCCCAAAAGACATTAGGTCACATGATCGTTCAAACCACGTTTTCCACAGGGCTATTTTTTTTTTAATCTCCATTAGACAAAGGTTTAGAGAGGTGACATTATTTCTCTAAGGTCACATACAAAGTCTCACATGATTACTCTTTGTGCCGGTACCAGGGCTTGAACTCTGGATCTGACTCTTGCGCAACTTTCTTGCTTAAGGCTGATGCTCTAGCACTTGAGCCATGACTCCATGTCTGGCATATTTTGTTTGTGTGTGTGGGGGGTGGTGGTGGTGGTGGTGGTCATGGACTGGCTTCTGGACTGGCTTCAAACTTCAATCCTCTAGATTTTAGCCTCAATAGTACCTAGATTTACTGGCTTTCACAGTTACTCTTTTTTTTTTTTTTTTGTCGGTCATGAGGCTTGAACTCTGGGCGCTGTCCTTGCGCTCTTTAGCTCAAGGCGAGCGCTGTACCACTTGAGCCACAGCGCCACTTCCAGTTTTCCAGTGGTTTATTGGAAATAAGAGTCTCACAGATTTTCCTGCCCGGGCTGGCTTTGAACTGCGATCCTCAGATTTCAGCCTCCTGAGTAGCTAGGATGACAGGCGTGAGCCACCGGCGCCCGGCCCTCTCAGTTATTCTTAACAGATGTGTTCTCTCTCCAGAGTGTCCTCGTGTTTGCACTGCTTTTGTAGTTAGCTTCACACCCTCTACTCACACATTTTTCCTCTCTCGGCTCTCCAGCAACAATGGTGATTGGATGCTCATTGGGACCGCCAGGGCGCGCTCGGCTCTAGGCACGAGGTTGCCGAGGGCGGGAGGTTGTGTGATTGGCAGTCACAGCTGTCAATCGAAGGCGGGTGGGGCGGGATGCTCCGAAAGCCCGTAGGTGGAGGGCGTGGCCTGCACGAACCAGGCGCGCGTCTCGCGGGCTGCAGTCGGCGCTCGCTAGCGGGGCAGCCGGAGTCCCGGCGGGGAGTGGGTGGGAGGAAGCGAGGCAGGGGGGAGGGGAGGGGGAAGTGAGAGCGTGGGGGGGGCGGGGGCGGGGAGGGACCGCGCCGGGGCGGCGCGCCGGGAGCGGCGAGGCAGCGGTTGGGAGCCAGAGCCGGCCGCCGTTGTCCCCGACGCTGCGGTGCCGCTGTCTGCTGTGCCGCCTTCGCCCTCCCCGCGCGCCTGCCGCCTGTGGGACTCCGGAGGGGTTCCCGGCGCCCCTCGAAGGGGCAGCGCAGTCCGGACTGGAAGAGTCGGCGCTGAGGGCGGAGCCAGGTCCAACCCGCTGAGCCCGAGGCCCCTTTCCCGCGTGTGGAAGTGGGGGGCTAAGGCCCCCCTCCTCAGAGGGGGGCCCCGCCGCCATGGGCAACCTGGAGAGTGCCGAGGGGGGCCCGGGAGAGCCGCCCTCCGTCCCGCTGCTGCTGCCGCCCGGCAAGATGCCGATGCCAGAGCCCTGTGAGCTGGAGGAGAGGTTTGCCCTGGTGCTGGTAAGACCCGAGCCCAGCCTCTCCCCTCCCTCCCCACCGCCCCCCTCCTGCTCTCCCACTCCCCGGGTGGAACTTTTGTCCCGGGCCTCGTCCCGCCCACCCCTTCAGCCACCAAGGCCCCCCGACAGACCCGGCCTCCGAAAACGACTTTTCCCGGGAACCTCTGAGCAGCCGCTGGCCTCCGTCCTGGGACAGCCCCGTCGGGGACATAGGGACCAGCGCCTGAACGAACTATGGAGTATTTAGGAAACAAAACAGGGGGTCCCCAATCCCGGACCACCCCAGGAGCCAGACTCCCCTCCCTCCCTCCCTTCCCTCCTCCTGCTGCCTTCATTTCTCCCTAATTCCTCCCCCCACCCCCTTCCCCGTCCCGTCTCCCCGGGCCGAGAATTCTATTCCCGATTCTCGCTGGTGGGACGAATTCAGAAGCTGAGGCTGGCTCGCCCTACAGCCTGACTTCTTTCCTCGGTTAACATGGAGGCTTCCCAGGGAGTGAGTGGGTCCCGCGCCCAGCCCAGCCCAGCCCAGATGTTTGGGGGGGAAGCAGAAGAACGGGGGGAGGAGGGGGTTTGGCAGCACTGGTAGGGGGTGGAATAAAGACTGATGCCATTCTACTTATTTTCAGAACGGCCTGCAGGCATCCTGTAAAGTTATAGTGGATTTGCCTAAAAGGCTGAACATGTGGATAAGCCATTTCACCAGGTTTTTTTTTTTTCCCCAATTGAAACAATACACAAACCATCCCTCCCCCCCCCTTTTTTTTTCATGTTAAGCTCTACTGACTAGTTTGTGTTGCTTTGCCTGTGTTTCTTTGTAGTCTTTCTGTAAGCTCCAAAATGGTCTTTATGGATGAGATTTTATAACTGACTTAGGGAATTCACCTTTGCTGTGGGAATTAGACATTCAAGTCAGTGGTTATGAGCTGGTCATGGAGTTGGAGTATCTATTGAAGCTTTAAGCATGAAGTTTTGGAGAAAGAAACATTTGTGAACACAAATAAATCTTTGAGAAACTTGGGAAAATAGTTCTCAGTTTCCCAAAGAACCCTTAAGAAGCAGTAATAATTCTGGCATTATTGTTGGTATGGCCTGAAGTGCTGCCTTTGCTTGTGAGGAGGAATAAGTTGTAGGCTTAGCAGCCTTATTGGATTTCATCTGCCTTGAAGAGAGAGATTAGATCTGTTGGCAGCAGTGGAGCTGTCTAGAGATCCTAGCCTCTCCCATAGTGGAGAGCCTGACATCAGCCCACTGGCATCAGAGCCAACTCAGAGAGGGTCCACCACGTTCCAAGAAGATGTTCCAAGGGGAAACCGTGTCACTGGCACCTCTCTGCCTGCCAGCTCTGAAAAGGGCCAAAGGGATCTGGACCACACATCCTGTGATCCTCTGTGTTTCCTCCAGCCTCATCTGAGGGATGGAGTGAGTCAGTGATTACTAATGTACTATGACCATCTTAGAAGCTGAGAAGAGACTGGGACTTAGTGCCCTTGAGAACAAGAGCTTGACTGTTGGGGGGAAGAATAGGAGGGAATCTGCACTCCAGTAGAGATGTGGAAATCCCCCAGTAAGCTGATACCAGTTAGCTATAAAATTAGAGAGAAAGGGCTGGTCTGAGATAGATTAGATGGGAGGCTTCCTGAGGTCAGGACTGATAGGCCTTTGTGAGAACTCAGGACCAGAATCCATCATGTCTTCTTTTGGAGCTCTGCTTGCTTGTTTGTTTAGCAAACTGGTGGATTAATATTCACAAAATGTACTGGGTATGGTGGTTACTAACCATAGCACTCAGAGATTCTCAGGTCAAGCAGGGGACTGGACCACCCACTTGAAATCCTTCTGTATAAAGTTTTGATTTGTTTCCTCATGCTTTTGTTTTGGTTTTGTATCTGTATCCCTGAGCTGCTGCTGATGATTGAGGATTGGAACAGAACAGGGCAGGCAGGCTAAGGCTAGTTGTTTCAGGAAAGGAAAGAATTTAACCTAATTTTTTGGGGGGTGTGGGAGATGGTCGTAGGGCTTGAACTCTGGGCCCAGGCTCTGACCGTGGTCACCTTTTTGCTGATTATTTGGAGCAAAAGTCTCACAGACTTTCCTGCTCCAGCTGGCTTCAAACTGTGATCCTCAGATCCCAACCTCCTGAGTAGCTAGGATTACAGGTGTGAGCCATTGGAACCCAGTTTAACCTCAGTTTTCTAACAGAAAATTTATGTTTTCATGGGGAATTGAACTGTTCTCTGGGATCCCTTAAAGATGTTTCTACAGCTTCTGAAAGGTATCCTTTATACTATCCTTTGGGAATAGATGGTGAATTAGGTGTTTGATCCACAGGCAAGCACATGGTGTTTCTTGAGCAGTCAGAAGCAAAAGCAAGGACTCTGGGTTGGCAGCTTGTCTTTTTTGAGCCTAGTTCCCCCCCTCCATCTATAAAATGGGGCCAATAATTCTTGCTCTCATGAGATTGTGAGAACTAATTGTATATAATATACTTGGCACTCAGTAGGTACTTAGTGTAGTAACTTCTTTTCTTGGTGATAAACAGGCAAGCTGCATTTTTCTTATCTTTTTCTTAGTTTGCCAGCTATAATTGGTTGGGTTTATGCAAATACTATGGCAGGAGTAGGGGGGTGGTTGCAGTGATTTACTAGTGTCCTGGTTAAGCAGAACTGTCAAGTCAATGTGGATTCAAATACTGCCTCCTGCACAGTTTCCCCTTAGTAAAGCATTTGAGCGGTTGGTGGCATGGTTCAGTTGGTAGAGTGCTAGCCAGTGAGCAAAAGTGCCAGGTACTTGTCTCAGACTTGAAAAAAGAACAAAGCATTTTATCTTAAACAAGTTACTAGTTAACCCATTTGAGTCCCACTTTTCTCTTATAAAGAGGGGTAATAAAAACATTTGTCACTGGACACCAGTGATTCATGCTATATTCCTGACTACTCAGGAGTCTGAGATCTGAGGATCATGATTTGAACCTAGCCTGAACAGGAACATCCATGAGACCCTTCATTAGCTACCAAAAAAGCCAGAAGTGGAGCTGTGGCTCAAGTGGTAGAGCACAAACCTTGAGCCAAAAAGCTAAGTGACAGCACCCAGATCATGAGTTCAAGCCCCAAGTTTGGCACGTGCGTGTGCATGCGCACACACACACTCCCCCATTTCCCCACGTACACAATTGTCACTTGAGATTGTTGTGTGGATTTAATGATATTTAGCAGCTAGTAAATGGTAATTTTGAAGTTTGTATCTCAACAGTGACTCAGATCTGAGATTACTTTTATTCCCCCAAAAGGAGTTTTAGGTATAGAAATCTGATGAAGCTAGTTACCCATGCTGTAGATACTCAATCTCAGGATATGCCTGTTGTTGTTAGAAAGTATCCCCTGCCCCAGTGTATCTATGGAAACCCCCATGTAAAGTACCCTGGCTGGGGAAGTTGTATCAGTGCTGAGTCAAGACCACAGGCTCCAGGCATTGTGGTATAGACACATGATCTGACCCAGGACTTGTAAGCAGAGATTGAAAGCTTGAGGCCTGAGGCCTGAGGCCTGAAGTGATTTGTTCAGGATATTGATCACAGGACTCCCTAACCTAGCCCAATGCCTTAAACCAGAGTTTCCTGGCTGGTGGTGCTGTAAATGGATCATAAATATGCTAGGATACTTATTCCTAGTGGCAGCTGAGGTTCCTGATTGGTTCTTTTAGATGTGCCCCTTTTAGTGGTTAAAATTGTTGTGTTATAATTCTTTCTTTTTTTTTGTCCGTTGTGGGACTTGAACTCTGGGCTTGAGCGCTGTCCCTCAGCTCTTCAGCTCAAGGCGAGCACTCTACCGCTTGAGCCACAGCGCCACTTCTGGTTTTCTGGAAATAAGAGTCTCATGGACTTTCCTGCCCAGGCTGGCTCTGAACTGTGATCCTTAGATCTCAGCCTCCTGAGTAGCTAAGATTACAGGCGTGAGCCACTGGCGCCCGGCTTGTGTTATAATACTTTCAAGATCCTTCTTTGCCTCCCTGTCTGAATCCCATTTTACTGAGTATTGAGAAAGTGGGAGTTTATTGGAGCTCTACTTTGATAGTACTAGAATGAAAGATAATGTTTAGTTTGTGTCAGTGTCTTGGTCCCAACTAGATTAAACCCAAACTCAGGTGCTTAAAAGTTTATATTCTGGCCAGTGCTTGACTTTCCTTAGGTAAGGAAGGGTGGTAGAGGACTCTTAAGGGCTTTGGAAGGACAGCAGTCTTCCTTCAGTGTGTGCTAACTTATTAACGAAACTAATTCTAAAAGATCTCATTCCAGAAAACACCCTGATTTTCATTTAGGAGGAGGTTCTCAGGCAAGAGGATGGGGCTGGGTGACAGCATTGTCCCTATTGTAGCCCCTCCTCACATTTCTCCGGTGATGACTGACAATTTGGGCCTTGCCATAAGTGTAGTGGCTTAGCTGGGCTGGGTGCTAGCTATCTGAGAGGCTTTGAGGAGCCTCCTTTGACACAGAAAGGGGCTGGGAAAAACTTGGACTAAATATCAGGTTCCAAATGGCTATGGTGGAATTTTTTTCCTCAGCCCCAGGATTGTGGTGAATTAGTTCAGGCTGGAATAGATCTTGGGGGAGGGAAAGAGCCCTCGGGAACAGCTGGTCAGAGAAACCTCCTTGTTCAGAGACTCCACTGAGAAGACCCCAGACCACAGAGAGGACCTTCATTCCATTGACCTTCCAGTAATTGAGCCTTAATCTGGGAAGGTATATATAGGGATAAAATGGAATGGATTCTTTGTCATTTGGGAATGCTCTCATTATCCAGAGAGAGAGATTTTTGGCTCCACCTTCCCTTCTCTTTTAATGTAATTCTTATTCTCTAAAGAAAATACAACTAGGCTCATACCTGTAATCCCTAGCTATTCAGTCAGCTAAGGTCTGAGGATGGTAGTTCAGAGCCAGCTCAGGCAGAAAAGTCTTTGCATCTATCTCCAGTTGACCACCAAAAAGCCAGAAATGGAGCAGTGGCA